AATTTGTGGTTCAGGTTCAGGTTCAGTTCAGGTTCATTGAACCTAAATTTGAACTGAACTGAACCTAGGAACCCTAGCCCAGGCTTTAGGTGTCTAAAGGATGCCCTCCCCTTGGTACATACTTTTGAAGCATATATTCTTTTCCTTCGGTGTGACAAACCCGGTAGTTCGGCTGGTGTGTCCTCCGCTATTAGGACCTGATCATTCGGTGCTTCAATCTCGGGCCCTGGTTCAAATTCAGCCCTCTTGTTATACCATCAAAGATCACTATTATTTCTAGCTCAGGACTTCCCAAATAGGTTTTCAGTTATGCCAGTTCCTCAGATTTATTGCGCTATTGCTCCCATTACTAGATGGTGTGACCGAAGTTACAGATTAGATCTAACCGATAAGCATAACCGTTAACTGAAACAAGCCTATTTTTCAAATATCGTCATCTGTGGGATTTGAACTCTAGACCTGCCACTTGGAGAGGGTGATGACTAGACCACTACACTAAGTTGCCACATCTCTAATATACAAATTTTTTTGTATACTATTTTTATTAAATTTTAAATACATAGTTGTATATTAATTTTTTAAAAATTCATGCATATAAAAAAACTTACATGCATATGTGCATCTTGTGCATATTAATTTAAACACTGTTACTACTATCAAATTCATATTGGAAAAAATGTTGAGACATGTTGGAGAAATTAATTGAAAAATATGTATGAACAATATAGACAATACAAAATATAGTCTATTTATATAAATTATTGAATACAAAAACAGCCCAAACAAGTTTATTAAACTATTTAGATAAAATAACAAAACTCAAATTTTAAACAATATTACAATAATAATAGATTTAAAAATATCATAAGCAACAAGAACAGGAACTACAAATTATTATTGAAACTCAATAGACAAAAAGACTTAGAATTTTATTAGCTTAGAACATTTTATTAAATTTAGTTTATTTATTTATTAAACTTAGAATAGTTACATTAGATAGATAATTTTATTAGATATAAAAATTAAAAACTAAAAAATTTATTAAAGAAAAAGAAAGTAAAATAAAACATAGAATAAAGAAGAACTGGAACAACCACCAACTTGACCAAACTAAAACTCAGACTACTCTTTACAATATATTGCAACACCTTAATCTTCAACTTTAAATCTTCTATCTCTGTTTCCAAATCTGTTATCTACACCCTGAGCCTATTTCTTTCTTCTCGCAACCTTGCTATCTGTATTTCATGTTGATAATTTAGCTACACCAGCTTAGTCAGATCATACTTCTGGACTTGAGCTTGCAGATTTGCAATTTGGTTTTGCAAATCCTGGATTATAGAAGGGATGGACTGGCTATATACAATGTATAGTATTTAGGTTTAATACAGAAAAAGTTAGAAAAAGAATACTTTTTCTAAAATAGTTATACTTAAAGACAAGAGTATAAAAAGAAAAGAAAGAGGAAGTAATTAGTGTTCAAAGATAAGCCGGCTTGTCTTTGAACACTAGAAGTAATAAAGAAAAAATATTTACTAGGGCTATACAATCAATCATGCAAGTTATAAAGAAAATTAATTGTCCAAGTACAAAGAACTGTTAGTAAGGTTTCGAGGTTTGAGTTTGGTTTAATTTGAGTTTGATCAAACTTCAAATCAAACCAAACTCAACTTCTAAATTTTCATCAATTTCAAACTCAAATCAAACTTAAATATAAAATAATCAAATTCAAATCAAACCCAAATATTATAATTGAGTTTGATTTGAGTTTGATTCAAAGTTTGCAAACTGTTTGAGTTTGAATTAATAATATGAAACGTAATTAAGCTTGGCTTTTCTATAACAATAATCTAATAATACAATTTTCATTTTGACTCATAAATGCGTAGATTTTTTCATCTTTTGGAACTCTTACCTATAGTTGTTAGACAAAACCTCTAGTTTTGTCTTTTATCAATTAAAACCTTAAATGATAAAATGACGAAACTAATAAAACTATAAAGGGTGACAAAACTAATGAAAAGCGAATGTACAAATAAATGTTGCTAAGAATCATCGAAGATTGTATATAAAAAAATAAAATAATAAAAACAGAAATTTATAATAATTACAAAAGTTTATTGCATAATAGGTGCTTGAATTGTTTAAAGAGAGTTAGATATATTGTATTATACTAGTATACTACATATTAGTTCTAGTAAGAAATCACTTGGTGTTTACTTTATGATCTTACAAATTTATTTTATGCCAATATTAATTCATTATCAATATCTTACTATGATTAAACTGTCCAAATAACCAAGTTATTTGTTAGCCCAACTATAGTAAAGATATTGGATAACACCGTTATTGGATGTTATACACCAATAGCTTATTTATCTGACTTATAGCCAGATAATAGAGTTATTTTTTAAATAACTTCTGTTATTTGTATTATTCTATGAGTACTACTGTATTACTATTACTATAGCTTTTACAAGGTTGTTTAAGGATAGAGGGTCTATTTTAAAATTATATATAGATAATTTACTATTAAACACCGTAAGCAATGTCCTGCAGCTCAAATCAAGAATGCACAATGAGTACCGAATAGCTAGAGGACTCAAATATAGATTGGAGACACAAAATAAACAAGTATAGAGACATTTTTAAAAAGTCAGCTGAAGACTTTAACTTGTTTAAAGAGGAGCATAAAGAGGAATACATTAGAAAAAATAGTGAAATAGTAGCATTTACAGGAGACAAGCCCCAACTTATATGTTTTTTTAGATGCTTAATCAAAACCTATGACTGGTTAGATTATTTGAGAATCAAAAAAGACGAGAATTCTTGTTTGTTAGACTTAATAAACTCCAACAAAGCTGAGAAAAGCAAGGAGGTACTAATTGAACAAGAATACGGCATAGCAGACTATGGCATCGAAGAGAAATTAAAGCTGCATCAACCTGGACCTGAGACTTCGACAAGGAAGAGAAGCGCAAGCCCAGTAGAGGGAAAAAGAAATACCAAGAAGGCCTGTAAGAAGGAAAAAGAAAATGACAACTTAACTAAAAGTACAAGACACAAAACCCATGCCTAGTGAAGAGATAAACATAGAAGCCTAGAAAAAAGAATACTAGAGAAACTCTAAGAAGTAGACAAAAAGTCACAGAAGATTCAAAAGTATGGTATATGCTATAGAACATACCAATAGAAGTCAAGATAGTAAGAATACGAAAATGTCTGCATTTTTATAGTTGAGTTCAATTCAGGCACTGGGAATCGCTAGGATCAAAGAAAGCTGTCTCATTTAATATAATCTTTTGAAATAAGAGGAGAAAAGCTTTATTTACCAAAGCTTGGGCTGTACACTTTGAAAAGGGGGAAATGCTAAGACTCTCTGAAGGGGCATTTGACAGAAGCATTTTGGACGAAAGAGAAAAATACAAAGCGATACTGAAAAATATCCCCAAGACAGCCCTAGAAACAATGCTGCTAGTATTCAAAGATAAGCCGGCTTATCATGGCTTGCTGCGACTTAATGCGGCTTATCATGTAATAAATTCGAATTTATCACCAAGTCATGTGATATCTTCGAATTTATCACATGATATTTTCGCGATTATCACACGGCTTGGTGATAACTTTGAATTTATCACGTGATAAGCCGCATTAAGCCGCAGCAAGCCGTGATAAGCCGGCTTGTCTTTGAACACTAAATGCTGCTAAAATAGCTAAAACTAGTAAAAGTACAAGCAGTATACATCTCACATAACCGCAACAAGAACCAAATAGGCACAGCCTCAATGTTCTTCAAGTCTGAGGAGGAACTTCTGGTAGCTCTTACAAAAAGAATATATTACTATAATGCGAAGCTTGATTGGGTTTCACCAGATAATATAAAAGAAAATTTTAAAAATCGTATAGTAAACAATAGAGGAGGTGCAACAACTTGTTCAACCAATCAGGAAGAGAGTAATATAGTGGAAAGGAAAAAAAACCTATACATCCCTACCAAGTCCAATGAAAACAAAACAAGTGGCAACTCAGTTCCACATAGGCGTCCAGTAGGCAAGAAAAACAAAAACAAAAATCTGACTTCAGAAATGATAAGGAGGGTGCAGACAGGAAGCGATAAACTCATGAAGATTTAGTTTACAGCATGCTGATACAAATCTTGAGCAGACTAGAAAAACTAGAAGACCAGAGTAGTTCATCTAAGACAGTACATGCAATAGTAGCTCTTGCGGATCGCTTCTAAAGGCGCCCCAGGCGCAACAATAAACCTCTCTACGGGAAACAGGAAGGGTGAGAGGGAAGGTGAGGGTGAGTCCCAGGTGAAGAAGTCAAGCAGGGGACAGCAAGCAAAGAAGATAGATATAGGCACTTTTGTATGATGAACATTGGGTTTCACAATATTAATGGGATAAAGGACAATAAGAACAAACTGAATACAATTATAAATTATGCAGAAGAGAAAAAAATAAACATATTGAGGTTAGGAGAAACAAATATTAGCAGTAAAGAGGGCTTTTTTGCAACAAAGGACAATAATTCATACGTTAGTATATGAACAGACTTTGACAAAAATAAGAAGAAAGGGTCCGGACTCGGGGTCCTAATCAAGAAAAGATGGGAGCGCCACATTACATCTCAAATCAGAAACAACCCATACTTTTTAAACCTGGTATTAGATTTTAAAAGTATTACAATTAATATCGTATACATATATATAGCTCCAAATGACAAGGCAGTGCAAGAAGAAATATTACAAAGACTTAAATATAGTATATAAGGAAGCCACAACATTACATAGTACTAGATGATCTGAATACGAATACAAAGGTACTTGCAAATAATAACTCCATAAGCACAAGCACAAAATATAAAACAAATCTCAAGAGAAGAATAATACAAGTACTAGAGGAGAGGCAGCTCTTCGATGTACAAGAATCTTTACAGGTGCCAACATGGTCAAACAGAAGTACAGAAACTCGAATTGATTATATATGGGTCTCGAACTAGTAGAGATACAATATAGTCGGCACCAAAGTAGATAATATGTCAATTTGCACCGGGAGTGATCACAAGCTTATACGAACAAGCATTCTTACTGGCCTAGAGATGAGAAATGCAAAACCTTCAAACTGAAAACGCTTATACAGAAAAAGAGTAAATATTGACATAAGCGAGGCCTCCAAAGAAGAGTGGGAGGACTTCCAAAAAGCGCTCGACAAAAAATTAAAAGACTTATAGTACAAACATAAACCCAAAAACCTTGACGAGGAGTGGGATATTATAGAAAGCTGCATGAGAACAGCAGCAAACAAAAGTTTTTCAAAAAGGAAAAAAACTTCTGAAATCCAGCAGATTAGCAAGAAGGACAAAGAAATACGTGCACTGAGACTAGCAATTAAGGCATATACTAAAGGTTATCACAAGAGTAAAAAAGGCATGTTAAGCACAGAGGAAAGGAAGATAGTTCTGAAACAAATTAGATCAATTATAGATATAGGCCTATCAGACAAGCCAGACATTGTAAATATAGAAAATCTTAGAAGCTGGGCCAAAGTTATACACAAAGAGTGAAGGCAAAAAATTAAAAAAGCAGAAGAAATGGCAGTAAGAAGCTGCATAGAGGAAAGATATAGCCTAATCGTGTCTAATCAGAAAAGAATGCTAGATAGTCTTTTAGACTGTCCAAGCAGAAAAATAAAAATAGACAGGGTAGTTAAGGACATCGAAGGGGAACCTGAACTAATTTATGAGCCAACCGAGATCTTAGAAGAGGTTAGGGATCACTTTGCAAAGCAATTCCAAAAGAAAAATATATTAAACCCAAATAAGCTACCTCTGAAGTGGAAAAAGCAATACACCCCAAGAGAGGATATAGATGAGACCTGGTTTGCAGATACTACAAGCAAGATCAGCGAAGTAAAATGGGACATAGCTTTAGCACAAGCAAAAGCCAAGTCAGCCCCAGATATATCCGGTATCACCTACCCCCTAATCAAAAGAGTAGGAGGACATGCAAACTCTGTGTTTCGCAAGTTTGCTACAAAGTGTATTAAAAATGGTACGA